GACCCTCTGAGTCCTGTCCAGCTGAAGAGCCACTCAATCGTTGACTGAGGCTCGTCTCGCCTTCCAATTGAGTGCGGAGTACCAAAAAAGGAGAATTTGCATATTTTATTAAATTCCCGCACAAATATCCAATCAATAATGTAGTATGCCATTCGCCGTATCCGGATTTCCTTGCCTCCCCTGCTGCCTTGCCCTTTGAGCACGGACCAGAGGCAAAGCCGTGGCAAATTAAGTATGCATACGTATTCAAATGGCTCACAAGCCGAAATATACACAGAGATATTGAAAGTCGAGGAGGGGAATGGGTATGGTTTGGGATAGGATGGGTGGAGGGGTAGCTTCGGCCGTATGCCCAAGAGGGAGATATTTGGTTTTTTCCAGATCCGCACCTCTGGACTCCCGAATGCCCATACCCTCGTCCTCAGCTTCTTTGTGGGCAAGGCAAATCATTAAGGACGCCGATTCCTCCTCTCATCACCGGTCGGTCTGTACTACACTTGGAAAATTATCACTCTACTAATCAATCTACATTTTTCCACTTTATTACAATATGTTCTTCCTGTAATACCCTTTTAATAACTTGATTATCTTTTTATTGTGGGTTTTTCTTTATTGTTTTATCAGCTATGAGATTTTATTATACCATTTTATTAAATTGTGTTCTCCCTTTAATACTCTTTTAATAACTTGGTTATCTTGTTATTGTGGGGCTTTGTTTATTGTTTTATCAGCTTTGAGATTTTTTGGGCCAGTTGATATCCCCATCATTTTTTACTTATCTGACGTCAGAATAATCCAAAACGTATTGATAAGAAACATCATGTCATTATATCCCAAATATCACTGGCATTTTCTGGCTTCTGATAAGGTGGCTATTATTATAAGTATAAATATTTTGATCGCAATGTTTTATTAACTTATAAACGATTTGATTGGCAAATATAAATGATATAATAGTTTTTAGAACTAAAGCTAGCATAAGAAGTTATAGTACCAGCTGCAGGGCCTTTGGGCATGTTATTTAAAACTTTTAAAAAACAAGTTAAATCAGTTGAATGTACCAACCGATTTATTAAATATTTTCTAAGAGTGCATCTGGGCTTTTCTTTTTATTTGGCCTTTGTTTCTCCGGTTTGTCGCCACGCGAGAAATTTGGCACACTATCGATGGGGCGGCGAATGATACGGAATTTTTCCGGGGCGGAGTTGGGTGGAAGATGCAAATGAATACAAACAAAGTACCGTAAGCAGAAAAGATTATGCCTGGCATAAAAATAAATTAATGGTCGTGGCGTGTGTGTGACTGTGAGGGAGTGTGTGTGGAGGGCAAGGACAAAGAAATGCCTCGCCTCAGGGGGTGTTGTAACAAGCCAGGACCCCCGACCCCATTGGTCAGCATTTCTTTTTTCTCTTTATAATTTGCCATGCGTAGTTTCCTCGACTTCTTTCATACGTAAATATTTAATTTCCTTAATTTTGTAGGACCCTATTCGGGGGTCCCCGCCTGCTCTCCTTTGCCTTGTTGGCTAGCTTTTTATTTCATTATTTATTGTTTTGCATTTCATCGCCGGGGCTTTAATGTTTATTGCTCTTCGTGCCAGCCAAAGTCCGATTTCAGCTGGTCATACGCGGCGTATGCGCAACGTTCTTAGCACTGCGTGAGTTTGGGAAAGTAAAGTGTGCAAAGTGCTGTCAAAAGTTAAGACCCGACACTTTCGCTCGTTATTTTGTTGCCGAGTTCTTTATAGTTTTTTTAAGTCCTCAAGTGCTGAGAATATGAAGTGAGAGCTTGAGTGCTAAAATGTGGAAAATCTTACTATTTAAAAAAAAACTGCACTTAGAAAAAACTCCTGAAATCAAGTACAAACAGTCTTGATTTAAGAACAAATTACTTCTCAACATTTTAAGAACGTTTGTACTGGAAAGGTTCTAAATTGAGCACAATATGGATTTAAATATTGATCAACTTCCAAAACACCCATCTATTTCTCTGAAAGTGCTTGGTATATATATCTCGATTATCAAATTTAAGTTTGTACTTCTTGTTTCTCCTATTAGTTCATAATTAAAACATAATTTAAATTCACTATGTATGTATATTGATTTAAGAATTTATTAATAAACCGTACTTTTTTTTAGTACAAATATGACTTGATTTAAGAATAATTTATTCTTGATTGTAGACCGAACAGTTCTAAAAAAATTACTGAAATCAAGTATTTTCTGTCTTAAAAATTCGTACTTTAAAGCTATGTTTTATTTTCGAGATTGGGAATTTCCATGCTTGTCAAAGCTTTCACACTGAAAATACTCGACTCAAGCACGAAATACTTATTTCTTTTTTGAGTGCATCCGAGTAACTGTGTTTTATTCCATTTATTCTTCATTACATTACCTTCAAATTGGATATGAAATGCACATATTGTTCAAGCACACTGACTCATTTCCGATTTCCTGGCAAGGACATTTTGAACCCTTCTCATTGTTTACGGACTCCGTAAGTCCTCCGAAAAAGATTTGCACTTTAGTGCAAAGAAGTGCAGAGACGAAACTTTTGCGCGCCATTTTTATTAGTGCCCCAAAGAGAGAAAGTAAAGTTGAAAGTGCGCAGAGCATTTTTCTTGATTTCCATTTTTGTGCAGTTTTCCCGCACTTATTTTTCGCCCATCCGAAGTGAACTAAACTTAAACGCATTGGCATCCGTTTCTGGTCGAAAGCGGTTTATTGCTAAAGAAAGAACTTAAATAAAGTGGAATTACTTGTTTCAGGAGCAGCAGAAAGGCAGGGGCGAGGACTTCCAAGAGCTGTCGAGTCTATTCGAAATAAGTATTTTGCATATTCATTCTGCGCTACTTTGTCGCCACTTGAAAATTGCGATTGACGGCCAACTCTTCAGCTGATGGAAAAGTTTTCGGGCCAAGAGCCCCCTCCCAACCGTCTTCCGTAATAGTTTCCAGGCTTTGGATTTCCTTCAATTAATTCCTTTTTAATAAGAGTTCATTGCGAAACTGGTAATATCTTGGGCATTACAATTCGCCCTGAATAATTCAATAAATATTTTCATTTCCAATTATGGCAAACAGCGTAGCTTTTCTGGGGATTTTCCTGGCCATTAAAGTTTCCCCCAACTGTATTAATTGCCGCTAAAACTTGCAGGGAACGAAAATATTATTTTATGTATTTTTCCGGAAGCCATCGTTGATATTAAGAAAAGTTTGCCATGGCTTTTGCCTGGTTCGCTGGGTGTTGGCGTGGGCTGTTCCACTAATGAGCCTATTGTTTGGCAGATAAAACGTGGCTAACTTGGGGCCCAGAGGAACAGGAAATAGCTGTTGTTGGCGCCGAAGTTGTTGGCATTAGCAGAAGGGTTGGGCTTCGGGATGGAAAACTTTGGGTGGCCAATTGACGCGGGATGATTCAGAAGTTTGTGGGACTTGAATTTGAGATTGGCGTTAAAAAACGCATTATATATTATCCTAGCTTCAAGATGTCGAATTTTATTTATTTAATTACCTTTGGTTAAATTTAATCTATAACTTTATTCTGCTTATTAATAATAATTGCATATAAATTTAAAATTCTTGTATTCGTTATAATTGTTTAGCTCACCCAAAAATGGGCTTGCCAACTATGAACAACTGGTTGCTACTTTTATTTAAAAGTATTTGTTTTCCCAATATTGGGTTTCTTGGAGCTTATTTAATAACCAAATGAGCGAGTATCATTATAATTTTCTAATTTTATTTCCAACAATTTTCTCCGGTATATTTGTCTTTTCATATTTCGGCAAAACTCATTTCATTTAGAGAGTACCCACCACCACCACATTTCAAATAGCTCTCTATCCCATGAATTTTTAATTTGAGGTTTACTTTTGCGCTTGGTGTGCCCGTCATGAATGCAGTTAATTGTTTTCAGTTTAAATTACTATTAGTTTTTCACAAACTCTGCCAACAGCTGGCAAAACATTTTGCCCACTCCCATGACAGTCCCCCATTCAGCCCCCTTTCTACTCATCCGGTTTCCCTCCGCCTCTGTTACAGTCTTTGGGGTCCTTGGCGATCTCCTTTAAAACGAAAGCGAAACTGAAATTGTAATTAAATTTTTGCCAATTCGTTTAATTGAGTTTTAAGCCGCAACTTCTGAATGCCCGAAATTGAAAGTCCCTCCCAGCCGCAGCCGCTTTTTTAGCCACTGCTGAAATATTTTTTGCCTGAGGTTGGCTCGTCTGTGGTTTTTATTATATTTTTTGTGCATATTTCGAGACCGCTCCTTGTGACTGTTTGCGCTGTAATTAAGTGCGTCTAATTTGTGTTAAGCGCTGTGCCACTTGAGCATCGCTTTATTTTCCTCCTCCGAATTTATTTTTTAACCCGACGCTGCTCCTGTGTGCTCAACTTAAGCCCAGACTGGCTGGAAAATTCGAAAGACCGATTTCGGAGTGGGTAAACGGCGGTCTGAACGGGGCTTTAAAGGTTGTCTGGGTACAAACTGCCGGTAAATTGCCACTTCCCCTGGGAATTTCATGTTTTTTGTGAGTCGCAGGCGGACCAAATACAACATTTTTTGAGTGATTTCTGTATGTGATTCCGGTGCGCTTCGCAGAGTTTTGAAGGAGAATTAAGGGTTGGATTCCATGAAGGTAGTATCAGTTTTAAAATGGAGAGGTTTTTGATGTAATAAAAAATAATGAAAGTGATAAGAGTTGCTGGTGCTGAAAATGTAAAACCTATTTAGACTCTCCCTAATTAAATTTAGTGGTTCATTAGAAACTCAAATGTTGATTGGTTATTTCTTGATTAACATAATCTTAGTAAATGGCTTACTTTTTCAAACCTTTAAGCCATCTGTTTATTTTTATCTCATTGTGCATTCAAACTTTTTCTCGCTCGTTAGCTGAAGCCCTTCGTAATTAGACCTTTTCCTGTGCCTTTTTAAGATATTTCTTTTATCCGCAACAGTCGACTTTAATTACAGTTCTTAACTCCTCTCCAGACTCACCTCATTTGCTGGGCTTGAATTTAATAATTCACCAATTAAAAAGTTTTCTTGAGTTTTTCACTTTGCACTAGGGAAACACTTTCTGTTTGCTAACAATTTTTCCAGGGTTTCCCCACTCACAAATATTTGTTTATCCAATTTGTTTATTCGCACTTTCTACCGGCAATTGGCGGTGAGAATTTCGTCTCTTTTCCGGGATGTTATTTTCTTGAGTTCGGTATTGTTGTTCTTGGTTGGTTTTAGCCACGATTGCAGCTCTCGGATTTTGCTGCTATCGTTACGCGTTCGAAACGGTAACTGCTCGAGTTTTTATCAGTGCGCCCCGTTTATAAGGAAAACCCGAGCGGAGCTTTTCCCGAGGAGCTTTTCCTTTCGCGAGAGCACTGAAAAGCCAGCGAAAGAGAACCGTTTTGACCAATTTGCGGGTTTTGACCAAATCACAGGATTCCTTACCCTCTGTTTGCCGTCAATTGTTTTAAGTGCAACATATCGGAGAAAGTCAAACACAAACATTTCACATTCTTGGCAGTTTGTGTTCCATGCTTCCTGGGAAAAGCGGAGGCAAACAGAGTGCAGGAAAAAGTGCATGCAAATCATTTCTAGCTTATAAATTATGCAGGTGCGAAGAGCAAACAGTGTCTGCCAAAAAACGGAGGAAAAGCTGGAAAAAGTGCAGTAGCCACGAGCAGTCGAGCAAATAAACTTCGATTTATCTCGACGTGAGTTGTGGTTTTGGCTGTTCCGAATCGTTACTTCCGGTGGTCCAACGATTGACCCGCAACTCGAATTCTAACCCTAAAACAATATACCATTTTTTCCGTTTTTAAATTATTTAAGATCGAAAGAATTTTAGTATAATTTTAAGTACGCAAGTATTTCAAAAATGCATTACCAGCGTTTGCCAAAACATTTATTCTTAGCATTTTATTTATTTGAAAAATGTTGTAAATATTGTTAGTGTATCTTACTTTTGACCAGTGATTTTTATTCTAATTATTAATTAAGAGTTCATTGTCTTTTTTTTAATTTGGTTAATATAAATTGTATTATTTAATTCTTTCTAAAATAAATTAATTATAAATAATGATGCATTATCAGCTGTTTGTGCCTAACCGAAGTAGACACGTCCGGGTCACACCGTGGGACAAGGGGGTAATGAGCACTTGTCGCTGGCACGGGGACGCTTTGATGGCAGGACGATCGCGTCGCGGCAATGGTAACGATGGTTACTGCGATGCCGGACCACAGGCGATGCTGGAGCTGCGCTGAGGGTGAGCTAACGTGGTTAGCTGCTAGTTGAGATAGTGTATTACGAGCCCTATTCCCAGATGTAGGAAGTAGAACCGCGGAGTTAAGAGGTGTGTTGATAACTGTTTTATTCTTCATTTGGAACATGGTTATATACTACTTGGAACACGGAAGTTTAGTGTAATGATTAGTGAAGTAAGCTATATTCTAAAGTAGATCAGGGAATTATGATTATGGTAGCAGTTTGCGTAGTTGGCTTTGCGTAGTTGGCTGACACTGCAAAATGTGCTGACTGCATTGGCCGGTCAGTGTGCCGTTGAGTCGGTGAGACGGTGAGTTAGTGAGACATGCTGATCAGCCATTCTCATATGCAGTGGGTGCTACTGAGCGCCTGGTACTGTTCCCAACTTGGCTACTGCTTGATTTGTTGGGTGTGGTCATGTTGAGTACCTTTGGGTACGAACATTCTCCCCCCCATTGAGGGGTACCCTCAATTAGGTCGTGATGTCTGTCAGTCCTTGACCGAATTGTATCGGAAGCACCTAACAAATCATTGACCAAATTGGATCGTTCCTTCAACTGAGGTTCATGATTGTAATTCAGGTCCTTCACATCTTCTTGATGCTGCTTAACACTCCCCTTTGCGATAAAATTGACATTACCGTGGGGACTGAAATTGTGCCCTCGTAGAACTTGATCATTTGGAACGTCTATGGTATGTGGACGTTCTGCAACAAAACTAAGATCTTTCTTGGTTAAGTTTAGAAATGGTGAACCAAAGTCAGCCTTCTTGTAGGTTTTGAATTGATGAGAAGTCGGTTCTATATTCATCGGATTTTTATCTTTCGTTGGTTCATAAGCAACGTTCGGTCCTGCAAAATCACCTCTGCCTTCTACCAGAATAGGGTTGATTTCCGTATCAGATGAGGTTTCTTTATTGAGATAACCTGTGATTACATAACCAAGCCTAGTGCCTTGTGCCAAAGGTTTATTAGGTCCTAGTTCAAGAAGTTCACCGGTTATTACACGAGAATACACCTCAGACCCTAAGGTTAGGTCAATGGGTCCAGGTTGCCGAAAGTCAGGATCTGCTAATGGCAGTCCCTCGGGAATATTAAGATCGGTTGTAATCGGTACTGACGGTTGGTCTGTAATGACTGTGGGCATAATAAATACCTCTAATAGTTTTTCAAACCCTGATGTACAGGATGAGAGCTTTAGTGTTGATCTAATTACTGTTGATATCTTTCCTCCGATTCCAGATATTTCAATCGGTGAACCTTCCTTAAGAGATAGCAGCTCTGCCATTCTCCTTGAGATAAGATTCACCTGTGATCCACCATCTATTACAGCGCGACATGTTTGTAATTGACCGTTTGGCCCTTGTAATGAGACCTTCGCGGTCGCGAGCAGAGTATATCCTCCTACGTTGTCGTAGCCTGCAATGGTTACTGCGCCGGCCACTGGATTGCTAGTCGGTCCTTGGTGTAACAGTGAATGATGCCGTTGCTGGCAGACTCGACAAGTGGTCGGTGATCCGCAGTTTTCAACCTTATGAGCTGTAGACAAACAATTTGTGCATGATCCTACTTGAATAATGGCTTGGCGCCGTGCTTTGGGGTCCATTTGCTGGATACGGCTACATGCTCTAAGATTATGTTGTCCTAGGTGACAAATCTTACAGCTCTCTTCGTTGTGAACTGACTGATGGCGGAGTGTTGCTGTAGGTTGAGCGCTTATCGTCTCCAGCATGCAAGCGCGCCGCTCAATAAACGTCAGTACACTCCATAACGTTGGAATTTCCGTTGGTGCATCCGCTGAATTTTCTAGAGCAGCTAGAGACTGCTGGTCTAGTTTTCTTCTGATAAGAAAACACAGGATTGGATCCCAGGATTTTTTGCTGATATCGAGGTTTTTAAGAGTACTCATTGAGTTTTTTATAGTGTCATGTAAGGCCCTTAGTTGGCGCGAGGAGCCGTCTATAGGCATATAATCAATAATTTTTGCAATGGCGGCGAATACTAGTATTTTTCCGTTCTGGTACCTGGCCTTTAAACGCAACCAGGTGTCGTCATAGCCACCCTGTGAGAAGGCTGTGTCTGTCAAGACGTTTCTCGCTTCACCACGAAGCGAACTCTGTAGAATATGTAGTTTTTGACTGGCCGAATATGGTTTATTATGTACCAATTCCACAAAGAGATCATGGAACCGTGGCCAGTCTAGATACTCGCCGTTGAACTCCGGAATGCTAATTGGCGGTAGTGCCAAGTTTAGGCTCATTGGCGAGTCGTTTTCTCGAAGCAGGTTCATTTCGTATTCTTCGTATAATGTGTGGAACTGAGCTAGCTCTGCTTCTGCCAGGGCTGCGGCTCCAGGTGTGCTGTCCAATTCGTCGTGGGCTTGCCTCAGCAACGCCCAATGGAGATCCAGGTGCCTTTGTAGGGCTGGGGTGACGGTTGGGGCGTTCGATGCTAATGTTAATGATGACTCCAATTCGTTGCATCTTCTCTGCAACTGTCGGATCACCGTGTCAATTGCGGAATCTCCTTTGACTTGATCTCTTGTTGTGATCTTGATGTTGGCCGACGTTCGTCTCGGGGCCTTCGGAAGCCCGCTTCCAGTCGGCATGTTGTCCAGAAAGATATTCTGATATTTTTCGACCAGCTCCTTAAGTGCTAGTAATCGTGAAGAGTACTCACTTCCAGTGGGTAATGCCGCTTGCTGGACTTCTTCATCTAGGTCGCAAAACTGCTGCCAGAGATCGTTTAACTGATTTAGCTTACCGGAATAATAGCCGTCTCGGTGGCGTCGGTCGGCAGAATCCTTGCCATAATTCTTAATGAGCTGTTGGATTTTCCCTTGCAGCTCGTTTTGGGTGTCTAGTAATCGATTGTGTAAATCGATTCTTGTGTGACTTGTTTCCTCAATGAATGAAGTAGACATATTGTGTGTCTTGGAAACAAAGAATCTTGTGAAGCTGGATGAAGCTGAGTATCCTGTGAAGCTGGATGATGCTGAGTATCCTGTGAAGCTGGATGAAGCTGAAGTTCCTGTGACGCTGGAAGAAGAAGCGAATCCTGTGAAGCTGGACCAAGCTGAAGTTCCTGTGACGCTGGAAGAAGAAGCGTATCCTGTGAAGCTGGATGAAGCTGAAGTTCCTGTGACGCTGGAAGAAGAAGCGTATCCTGTGAAGCTGGATTAAGCTGAAGTTCCTGTGACGCTGGAAGAAGAAGCGTATCCTGTGAAGCTGGATTAAGCTGAAGTTCCTGTGACGCTGGAAGAAGAAGCGTATCCTGTGAAGCTGGATTAAGCTGAAGTTCCTGTGACGCTGGAAGACGAAGCGTATCCTGTGAAGCTGGATTAAGCTGAAGTTCCTGTGACGCTGGAAGACGAAGCGTGTCCTGTGAAGCTGGATTAAGCTGAAGTTCCTGTGACGCTGGAAGAAGAAGCGTATCCTGTGAAGCTGGATTAAGCTGAAGTTCCTGTGACGCTGGAAGAAGAAGCGTATCCTGTGAAGCTGGATTAAGCTGAAGTTCCTGTGACGCTGGAAGAAGAAGCGAATCCGGTGAAGCTGGATTAAGCTGAAGTTCCTGTGACGCTGGAAGAAGAAGCGTATCCTGGAGCTGGATAAAGCTGTGAGTCCTTCAGTGGGAAGGGGGTTGCTTGAGTGTGATCCTTTGTTGTTAAAGGATCACGTCGGGGTCACCAATGTTTGTGCCTAACCGAAGTAGACACGTCCGGGTCACACCGTGGGACAAGGGGGTAATGAGCACTTGTCGCTGGCACGGGGACGCTTTGATGGCAGGACGATCGCGTCGCGGCAATGGTAACGATGGTTACTGCGATGCCGGACCACAGGCGATGCTGGAGCTGCGCTGAGGGTGAGCTAACGTGGTTAGCTGCTAGTTGAGATAGTGTATTACGAGCCCTATTCCCAGATGTAGGAAGTAGAACCGCGGAGTTAAGAGGTGTGTTGATAACTGTTTTATTCTTCATTTGGAACATGGTTATATACTACTTGGAACACGGAAGTTTAGTG